GTGGCCTGACCCCAGTTCAGATCGCTGCTGCCGATCATCCCCAGCCTCCTTTCACCATCTGCTCACCGGAGGGTCTCCTCTTGTTCTGTCTCTTGCTCCATCTGGGCAGCCACTCAGAGCCTCAGCCCTTGGACAAAGCAGGCGGGAGGGTTCTAGTTTCCTTTGCTACAAGTGCCACACTCCATGGAAGCACACTGGGAATCTGACACATCATTCCAGCACAGGGTCAAGGCCAGGCAAGGAAAGGTAAATGTTGAATTTTCTTCTGAAAGGTATTTTTCTTTGGAATTCAGTGCGTCAAGGTAGCTGCTAGGATTGTGGTGGTACATTGTGAAATTCCTCCACTTTGTTGGATGTGGTAATTAAGCACAATTTTGTGGTGGTTGAACACAATTTAAGGAAAGAAAACAAGTCCATTCTTGTTTATGATTTTAGCTTAAAGAGCTACATAGCACTTCCATGTGAATGGGAATTGGAAGGGAATTCAGAAAATCAAAGATAAGATTTTTTTTAAAGGTTCACGAGATTCTGGTTAATTTTTTAAAATTTGATACTTCATTGTAATTATCCAAAGAGTTAAGAATAATTACTTAAAAGTGAATACACAGCATATATATTTGCTAGGTGTATACAGTTTTAGTGCCATATTATCTATTCCAGAGATGTTTTGCTTAAATTTCTCACCTGTCATGGGCCTCATGGTGCATCAGTATACCTAATACATATTATTTCAGGTTAGTATGCACACTATGGATTTCTGATATTTATAAATACAAGGGCCTATTGCTTTTGTATTTTCAATTTATTTTCTATAATAACAATTTTTAAATTTAACTCCCATAATATTTCTTTAATAAAGAAGTCAGGGGGCCAAAGGTTGCTGAAAATTTGACTTATTTATTTTTTTGATTGCAGACAAAACCTAACAGCTGAAGCATGACAGATATATATCTGTTCAATGGGTCAAATTCTCCAGGGACAAAAATGATATAGTTTCTCTCAGGGATTACCCTGACTGTCAATAAAACTGCCCTAAAACTATCGGATAAATTCTTTTGCTATAGATTGAGGATGTGTGTGTGTGTTTTCTTTTTTCCTCCAGGAATTGAACAGACATGTTTGTCAGTATTACGTATATGTAAAAATACATGGGACCACCTAGGATGTGGTGGTTAAGATGGCTGGATCCCATGTGGCTAACTGTGCGGTTTGAGTTTCTGACCAAGTAGCTTCAAAGACATGCTGGGTGCATGTGACTGTGTGCCCCAGATCCCAAGAGCAGAATGGAGGAGAAGGGATTGCAGTGTGGCCATATCTGTGTGGTGCTTTCTCAGTTTCTCTCTCTCTGTCTCTCTCTGGTGAGTGTGCACACTCTCTAGCAAGTTTAAAAAAGTGAGCATGGCTGGTCACTTCTCTCAAGCCATTTGCTCTTCTTTAGAATTATGGGATAATTATAGAAACATTAGATGTATACTTTTGGGTTTATATATCAGTCTTTCAGCCATACCCAGGAGAAGAGATTCCTGTCTTTGGTCTGTGTCCAGATGAAACTTCTTCTTTTTTTTCTTTTCTTTTTTTTTTTTTTTAAAGAATTATTTTATTTACTTTTACATTTTGACCAGAGAGGGACAGAGTGAGAGTGAGAGTGAAAGTGAGAAAGCAAGCCTCCAGGTCCAAGACTTAAACCACGGTCGGCCTTGTGGGAGTCCAGTACCCTTAACCACCACGCCACCTGCTGGTCCCAAAACTTCTTTTTTAAAATTGATTGATTGATTGCCAGAGGCTGTATGCATTTGTCAAAGGGAAATAGAGACAGAAAGCATCTCACCAAATCACCCTCCAGTGTGGTGTGTCTACACTGCAATCTCTCTTCCTCCATTCCTTCCTCCCATGAAGCAGCCCATTCAGTGCTGTTGGGACTCAAACTATGGTCGAATATGTGGGATCTGGTTCTCTTAACCACTAGCTATAGGGCTGTCCCCCACATCCACCTTCTGACCTGTGAAGTTGCTTTTGCTCAATTCAGCAGGTATTTATGAAATAATTATGATGGGTCCCAGTATTTCAGGACTGTGGTAGATTGTGTCTAGTGAAGGATGAAGACTGTACCACGTTAGTGGGAATAACACATGAGATAAAAAAAATAATAAGTTGTTGGGGCCAGCAGGTAGTGTGGTGGTTAAGGCACTGCTCTACCATATGGTTGAGTGGTTTGAATTCAGAATCTGCAGCTTGAAACTCACACTGGGCACATATGCACACATGCCCCAAATTGTGAGAGGAGAATGGAGAAGAAGTGACTGTGGTGTGGCCATCCTCCCTGGGGGTGGGGGTGTGATTTCTCACTTTCTGTCTGTCTCTGTTTGGTGAGCGTACATGCCCTATAGTAACAATCTCTCTCAAAAATAAAGTTGGCGCATGTGAAAGCAGCAAGGGGAGTGAGCCCCTACTGTCCTGCAGCATCGAATTGGCGTCTGTGTGTCTGTGCGGCTCCGTGGCTGGTCTCTCCATGGCAGTTTGTCCTCCCCCCCCCGCCCCTTCCCCATTGTCGGCAAGCTGGATGCCTCTGCTTTGCACCCACCACAGGTCAGAGGGGCTGAGGAGGGGAGGAGGCAGCTGCTGAGTGTATGGCTGGGAGCCTTGCACTTTCCAAGTCATCACTGGAACTTGACCTTGACAAAAGTCAGCAACCCAGTGGCTCACTCTGACTAGCTCATGGTGAAGGTCTAATGTCAACTGGTAAAGACCAAGAGTTCAGGTTTTGAGACTTTAACAGGTAGGGTTCATGTGTTCCAGCTCTGGTGTCTGAGATGTGACCAACGTTTATTTAGTGCAGGTCACTTACTGGCTTATCCCACTCTCAGATATGTGGGAGACCCACCCACTCATTATACAGCAAGTGGCCAGTGCAGGGCAGGGTTTAGCTTATGCCTCATTAATTAGGTGCTGGCCTCAGTTTTTAATTTATTTTATTTTATTTTATTTTATTTTGTATTTTATTAAGTGAGAGATATTTGCTGTAGGACAATGTGCTCATTGGAGAGATAGAAAGTGAGAACTCGTCCCCCAGGGAGGATGGCCATGCTGCAATCCTTTTCTGCCATTTTCCTCTTAGGATTTTGGGCATGCACGCACATGTGCCCAACATGGTTTTCAAGATGTTGGGTCTGGGACTTGAACCACAGTCAGCCATGTGGAAGTTCAGTGCCTTAACCACTACACCACTTGCTGGTCTCTGGCCTCGTTTTAATAGACCCACAAAGGAGTTATTTTATTTTTGATGCTCAAGGAATGTCAGAAAAATATATCTGGCTCTCCCCCTCCCCCAATTTAAAATGTATTTGTGTGGGTAGTTTCAGACAGGGGGCTTGTTTGTGGCCTTATTCAAGGAACTTGGGTTAAATGTCATTGCTTCCCTCTCACGAACTTTAGGCTACTATTGATCCTTCCAAAGAAGGTATTTTTTTTTTTTTGAGAGATTTTCACTTGTAGGGCGCGTGCGCTCGCCAGACAGACAGAGAGAGACATAGAGACAGAAAGCGAGAAATCACCCCCCCGGGGGGATGGTCACGCCGCAATCCCTTCTCCTCCATTCTCCTCTCGGGATCTTGGGCACGCACGCACACGCGCCCGGCCTGAGTTTTAAGCCACCGGGTCCGGGACACGAACCACAGTCGACTACGTGGGAGTCCAGCAACATAGCCATTACGCTAACTGCTGGTTCCCCAAAGAAGGTATTTGATAGCCAACAAATGTAGAAAAAGATGCTCAGCATCACCAGTCATTAGGGAATCCAGATGAAAACTATAATGAGATAATCACCTATGCTGTTTAGGATGGCTACTCACAAAGAAACAGAAAGTAACAAGTGTTGACAAGGATGTGGAGGAACTGGAACCCTGGTGCACTGATGATGGGAATAGAAAACGGTGCAGCTGCTGTGGAAACAGTATGGTGGCTCCTCAAAGAATTAAAAATAGAATAACCTGATGATCCAGCAACTTCATTTTGGGCATGCATCCAAAAGAATTGAAAGCAGGGTCTTAGATATCTGCAAACTCATATTCCTGGCAGTATTGTTCACTGTGGCCAATACGTGGAAGCAACCCTAGAGTCTGTTGATGGTTGAATGGACAAACAAAATGTGGTCTATCCATACAATAGAATGTTATTTGGTATTAACAGGGAAGGAAGTTCCAACACATCAATGTAGATAAAAATAAATACATGAATAAATAAGAATTCTTTGAAAAAAAATGGCTAAGGTGGTAAATTTTGTTATACCTTCTTTAGCACAATTACAAATAAAGTCTGGTAAAGGAACTGAAAAGTCACTACTGAACCCTCATCACCTCCATGCTGTCTCTCTTTTGTGCCTGGCAGTGAGTGACAGTGAGTGCCCCCAGATGGCAGCCCCTTCCCCAGCCTGGGCCACTCTCCGCCCCTCTCAAAGCCCACCTATATCCCTGAAGTGGGTCTCTCTTCTCTACTGACATGTGCTTGGGAAAAACTAATTTCATTTATGTCTGTAAATGCTAAGTTGTCTTTAGCTGTGGACACTGTTCACTGGGATTCTAGGTCTAAGCCTTGGGTTCATTTTTACTGTGTAGTCAAAGGGAGGACAGGGAGCTTCCCCGTCACATAGGAGGAGGCTCCTGCAGACTGGTTGGTGGGGTGAGTCTGGGAGCTGTTCTTCTGGTGGTGACAGAAGAGCCCAGCCTGCCTCACCTGGTCTCTCCTGGAACAAGGGCACTCACTTGACAAAAAACCTGCATGTTGAAATGATGGCATTCTAAGGGTTGGCTGGTAGTCCTGGCTTCTGTTAGACCCTCCCTGATGATCTGTTGAATCCAGCAGTTCCAGACCTTTCATGTATTATTTTCACAGATATTTTGGACACCAGTTGATTCTTCAGACAATCTATATTAACCTTTGTTTTCACTTTTTGGGCATTTTGTGTAAAATGCTTGATGGCGTTTTCTCGCATTTCTGTTTTTCAGGGTACTTCATGGACTCACTTCCCATGCTTGTTACAAGCTTGACCTTGCTCTGAAGACATGTGAAACCTACTGACCACCGATCTCCCACGGAGCAAAACCTGGCCTGCAGGTGAACCCAGTCACATGCCTCGTGACTCATGTCAAGTTCTATGACCGTGATCAAGGTGACCAGTACAGGTTTAATTGTTTGGTGCATTGATTCTGGTTTTAAAATGCTTGAAGGGCCAGCTTGTGGCATGGTGGTGAAGGTGGCTGGATTCCACATAGCCAACTGTGTGGTTCGAATCCTGGACCTAGTGGCTTGAGAAATACACCAGGTGTGTATGTGTGTTGCCCAAAATACCAAAAGGAGGAGGAGATGGAGGAGAAGGGATTGTGGTGTGATCATGCCCCATGGAGGGTGCTTCCTTACGTTTTTTCTCTCTGTGTTTCTCTACAGTGAGTGCATGCGCCCTCTGGCAAAATTGAAAAAAAAAAACAAAAAACAAAAAAGAAAGATGGAAAATTGCTACCAAAATACCAGTCCATTTGACTTTTATTTTGTGGTTGTATTTAAATATAAAAAATTTAATATAAAAAACCTAAATATATTTGGAAATGTAACTGGAAGCATCACCTTCAAGTTGTCTCAAATAGTGGTAAATTGGCTAGAGTGAAAGACGAGGTGGGAGAAATAAAATGAAGGGAGAAGAAGGTTTGGATCAAATTCTGGTTTGAGTTTGACTTAACTGATAGACTTTTGGGGACACATTGGGGATATGAAGGGAACTGAGAACCTAATCACTTTTTTGATGCCCTCCTCCTACCAAGTTAGCTTCAGACTTTTGCCCTCACTGTTTCCTGAAGTAAGGACACTTGGAGTCTCTAGAAAAGAGTTAGAGATTTGTTTTATTCAATTTTTTTTTTTTTGCCTCAAATGTGTGCTTTTAGTCCCCACCCTCACCCCCCATCCCTGTTCCTTTTTTTCTCTCAGCCTCGTTTCTGAGGCCTTCTCTCCTTTTCTTTTGCTCTGTGTGATATATGAAAACTCCCACAGAGCCTGATACCCAGAGGCATGTTGTTGCATATGGGGCAGTTTTTGAGTAATCATCTCCTATTTTATGTATACTGACCACACATTTTTGGGGCTATTGAAATCCCATGTATTTGGACTGACAGAATAAAGATACTTTCTTCATTTTTGTCTTCAAGAATCACAAGTTCAAACCCTCTGAACACCAAACCTGAAGGAAGTCCATGCCTTCCCTTGATCTTTATGACCATTTAGCATCTTAGTTACCACCACACAACACGTAATGTGTTTAAAATAACTAGCACACACGTGTGCGACATTGTCTGTCTGGCTAACGATCAGCCTTGCATAGTAAGGAGAGCCAATTCAGTAAGTAACTCTTGTCATTCTCTTTGAGTTTTGCCAGGCATGGAAGGGAGTTGCTTGTTTCCTGTGTGATGTGTGGGATTTAAAAAAAAATTTTTTTTAGAAAGTTCTGTCATAATGGAATGCAATTTAGGTCATAGCTTTTATTGTTGCAACTGTGCTTAATTTAGATTAAAATGGGGAACTCCGAGAGTCAGTACACTCTTCAAGGATCTAAAAATTATAGCAATACTATTACCGGTGCTAAGCAAAAGCCTTGCTCCCTGAAAATACGCAGCATTCATGCAAAAGATGAGAAGTCTCTGCGTGGCTGGGACCATGGAGGCAGCGGAGCAGGCTACAAGTCTCGGTCCCTGGCTCGGAGCTGCCTTTCTCACTTTAAGAGCAATCAGCCTTATGCCTCGAGACTCGGTGGACCCACTTGCAAAGCCTCCAAAGGCACTGCCTATTCCAAACACAGGACAAATGCCCCGGGAAATGGTTTCCAGGGCAGCAACTCTGCTTTCTCCCTTGAGAATGGCTTCCACTGTGTTGGCCCCCAGCCAGCGGAGAGCCACACCTCGAGAGACTGCAGCGGACACCTGCTCAACTGCTACGGGAGGAATGAGAGCCTCGCCTCCACACCGCCCGGCGAAGACCGCAAGAGCCCCAGGGTGCTAATCAAGACGCTGGGCAAGTTGGACGGGTGTTTAAGGGTCGAGTTCCACAACGGTGGCACCCTCACCCAGGTGCCTGCTGAGGAGTCCAGGGGTCCCGTCCAGCTGCTCCGGTACTCACCCGCCTTAGAGCCTGGAACCCCCCCTTTACCTGAAGCCAGGAGGGATTCCAGCGCTGACTCCCCACCCAGCCCTCGCCCTTCTCCCACAGACTCACGCCTGCGGTCAAGCAAAGGCAGCTCCCTGAGCTCTGAGTCGTCCTGGTACGACTCCCCGTGGGGCCAGGCCTGTGAGCTGAGTGAGGCGGAGGGCTCCTCCCTGGGCCCCTGCATGCCCGACCCCAGCCTCCATGCTGGCTTCCCATCTGCTGACACCAAAAAGCCTTTCAACCAAAGCTCTTCCCTCTCCTCTCTCCGGGATCTGTACAAAGATGGCCCCCTGGAGAGTCTGTCCCCTTCAGGTGTCCGACTTTCAGACGAGTACACGGGGACGCTCGCCAGCCTCACTGCCCGTGTCTCCTTCGCCTCTGACATCGATGTGCCCTCCAGGGTGGAGCACAGGGACCCCATCCAGTACACTTCCTTCACCCTCCCTTGTCGCAAGTCCAAAGCCTTAACTGAGGACACCGCAAAGAAGGACAGCCTCAAAGCCAGGATGCGACGGATCAGCGACTGGACAGGAAGCCTCTCCAGGAAGAAAAGGAAACTGCAGGTGAGTGCACCTTAGGGCAGGGGAGAGGGTCCCTTAGCTCCCTTCTGTGAAATGGAAATGCATTAGAAGCTGTTGGAGGGTGTCAGGAGGCATAAAGGAGCTAGTGAAAGTGGAGTGTGGCAGGAGTCGCTCCACATGCTTTCAGGGGAGGGTTTTTTCCCTTCTGCTTCAGAGGTGCATTTCACTCTTGGTCCACAACTTCAGCCTCCCTGTGTCTTACCCCAGGCTGTGGGATACTGCCAACAGGGTGACTGAAGCAGTTTATTTCGCTGTCACATTCTGGGGGCTGGGAAGTCAGAGATCAGGTGCCCGTGAGGGCGGATGCTGGGGTGGGCTCTGGTCCTGGCTATGGACTGCCTGCCTTTCCCCATGTCTTCCTGGGCAGAGAGAGATGCAGCTCTGGTCTCCTATAAGGACACAAATCCAATTACAAGGCCCCACCTTCACCTCTTTTAAACCTAATCACTTCCTAAAGGTCCCACCTCCCTGTTCCATCCCTTTGGTGGGGCACAAATGATCAGTTCACGTCACCCCAGTTCTGTGCTGGTCTCTGTACTCTTGTATGAACTCCACATTCTTCACCTTAACACCTGGCCAAGCTACTCTTAGAAACTACAGAATTGGAGAGAATTCCTGGTCAAATAGATTGAGAATTTTACTAGACTTCACTGTTAAAGTCCAACAGAAAGGAACAGAGATAGATTCTCATTATTTTAGGATGAGTTAGGTAAGGGTGAACTTGGTATTACTTTGAAGAAATGAAGATTTCTTTGCTTAAGTTGGTACATCAAAAAAAGAATTGATGACGAGTCTATTAATAGATATGTAATTCACCACCTCCTTATAGGCATAGCTAACAGAATTTTAAAAACAGCCTTTATCTAAGTACATAAAACAAAATTATATTGCTGATAAAAATAAGAATCATAATAGTAATCATAATCATGTACTTTGAATATTACATTACGGTTTAATGGGGGGAGAGAAGGGACCAGCAGTTGGCATAATGGCTATGTCGCTGGACTCCCATGTAGTCAGCTGTGGTTCGAGTCCTGAACCTGGTGGATTAAACTCACACTGGCACATGTGCGTGCTTGCCTAAGATCCCAAGAGGAGAATGGAAGAGAAGGGATTGCAGCATGGTCATCGCCCCTGGAGGGTGATTTCTTGCTTTCTGTCTCTCTGTCTCTCTCTGTCTTTCTGGCGAGTGCACACGCCTATAGCATAAACCTCTCAAAAAAAAAAAAAAAAAAAGGTTTAATGGGGAAGGTGATGGCTGAGCCACCAGGAAGAAAAATCTGGTTTGCTTTTTAAAGTAACTAATGGCAATTTTTGTGTTTTCAGTTTGTTGTCCTTGTTTTTACTTTTTTTTTGGCGGAGGGGGGAAGATTTTTGCTATAGCATGCTTGTGCTCACCAGAAAGACAGAGAGACAGAAAGTGAGAAATCATCCCCCAGGGGGGATAGCCATGCTGCAATCCCTTCTCCTCCATTCCCCTCTCGGGATCTTGGACATGCACGCACACGCGCCCAGTGTGAGTTAAAGCCACCGGGTCCCGGACTAAAACCATGGTTGACTACATGGGAGTCCAGCGGCATAGCCATTACGCCAACTGCTGGTCCTGATGATATGATATTGTACATTATAAAATAATGGATGGGCTGGCCTGATAGCCTAGCAGTTAAGGGAGCTGGATCCCTATGGCCAGCACTGGTTTGAGTTCTGGCTGTGGTGGTTTGAATAACATGCTGAGTTCATGTGTCTATTTTCTCCAAATCCTGATAGGTTGGAAAAATGGAGGGGAGAGGGGATTGCAGTATGACCATGCCCCACTGAGGGGTGCTTCCTCTCTCTCTTTGTCTCTCTGATGAGTACACCTGAAATTAAAAATAAATTAATAGGGGCTGGCAGATGATGTGGTTAGGGTGCTGCTCTCACACATGGGCAGCCGTGGTTCTACTCCCAGACCTGGTAGCTTGCTTTCTTGCTTTCCCTTTCTCTCTGGTCAAATTAAAAAAAAATTAAGTAAATATTTCTTTAAACAAATTAATAAATTAACAACACAAGATAAAATAAAATAATGGGAAAATAATACCATTTCAGACTTGAAAGCCGACCATGAGCTGTTTCCTGCTTTTGTGTAATGTCTCCTGTCACCTCCCTCCCTTGTACTTTGGTGCTTTTCCCCTCCTTTTCTCAGAGCTACAGAACAGATGATCACTGTCCTATGCATGGGCCTCCGTATGTCCCTGAATAGGAGACTCTTCAGCCCTGCCTTCTTCAGGCTCACCCACTAAGAGGTAGGGATGTCTTTGCCCTTTCTCTCTCAGATCCCACTTCCCCAGAACTGAGCAGAATTGTGCATGACAGGACAAATACGTAGCTCTTACTCTGGACTGCAGTCTCACAGGATCTCTTCCTGGTGGAAGTGTCACCTGCTGACCTCTGCCACTGTCACTCTGTCCCCTAGTTGATGCTGGCTTTGAGCCAGCTTCTCCACATCTCCTGTTTGTACTGAGTGTGTCTCATTGATATGGTGGCCTGGCTCTCACCCGGCCCTGCTGAGGCTCACTCAGGTTCAGTTTTGGTGCAGGGCCCAGGCAGACCAGTTGCCTCTGTGTCTTGACTGCTCTCTGTCCCATGTGAGCTGTTTGTGTTACCCATGGGCACTGAAACACTTCCAATTCTGTATCATCTAAAAACTTAACTTGATCGTTTGCATGCCTGTAGAGTTAAAACAACCTGATTAGAATCAAAGAGGCAGAATTCCAAAGCTAAGAAGGATTCTCTTTGTTTTATAAGCGAGGAAACAGGTTCAGGGAACTTGAGGGTCCTTCCCGAAGTCACGTGGCTAAGTAGGGGCGAAGCAGGGCCAAAGCCATTTCTGCAAAACCTCAGACATGTGCTTTTCCCATGTAGCCTTATGATCACAGTATTATTGACAACTACTTTTTTTTTTTTTTTAAATTATTCATTATCATTATTTTTAAAGTTTTCTTTTATTTTTTAAAGATTTATTTATTTATTTAATTTCATTTGTTATTATTATTTTTAAATTTGACCAGAGAGAGATAGAGAGAAAAGGAAAGTGAGAAAGCAAGCTGCCAGGTCCAGGACTTTAACCAGGGTCAGCCATGTGGGAATCCAGCACCTTTAACCAGCACACCACTTGCTGGCCCTATATTTTACTTTTTTGAAGTTGATCAGAGAGAGACAGTGAGAGAGAAGGGAAGTGATAAAGCAAACCGTCATGGTGAATTGGAGCCTGAAAGTGATTAATCCAGGGCAAAGCATATTTAACTGACAAGATAGTATCACTAATTATATCCGTTAGTCAGTGGGTAGGTAGGCAGGTAGGAAGAAAGAACGATGGAACCTGCACAGGAGAGGAGTGTGCGTCTGGAGAAGATCAACCCTTCATGCCAGCTGTAGCCACTGTGAGGCTGTGTTCCTGTACAGTGACTTTCCTACTGTATCAGGCAGGGCGGGGAGGAGTGTGCGTCTGGAGCAGATCAACCCTTCATGCCAGTTGTAGCCACTGTGAGGCTGTGTTCCTGTGCAGTGACTTTCCTACTGTATCAGGCAGGGCGGGCCAGGTTATGCTGCGATGACAACAATCCCTCCAGTCTCCAAGCCTTGGCATAAATTGAGTTCATGTCTCACTCCGGCAGATGGTCACATGGGTCCTAGGGGTGACTGTGGCCTCGTCGTTCCCGGTCTTCAGGTCATCAGAGCAAGAACTGCGTGGAGCGTTGCTAGCTGCTGTGGTGGAACGAACACCTTTAGGGCTTCCACTCGGAAGTGATGCTTTTCACATCTGCTCACATTTATTGGCAAAGCCAGTTGTCTGGCTCTGCCTGACTTTGAGGGAGGGAGGTATGGGGCGATCCTAGCACATGCTCTAGGGCAGGCCTGGGAATATTAGGCAGACATCCCCATGACTCACGCAGAGTTTATCACAGAGTATACTCAGGACACGGAGACTCTAGTTCTAGATCCTTCTTAATTTTTAACTGGTGCTACTCTCTGAGGGTGACCTGGCCTTGTGAAAATTAATTTCTACAGAGCTTTAGTGGTTCTTACTCTACAACGAAGAAAAATGGCTTGTGAAGAATAACAAGGCATGAATTAGTTCTTTATCCCAGAATGTGAAGAATTATGATCATTTTCCTTTAGCTCCTGAGGACTCCAGTGACACCTCTCTCCCAACTCCCTAGCTTTATTGGGGTATAATTCAGAAAAAGAAGTTATATATTTGAAGTGTGTAAATTGATACTTTGATACACATATATGTTGCCAAATGGTTACCACAGTCAAGCTAGTGAACATATCCATCACCTTGCATAGTTACCTTCGTGTGTGTGCACGCGTGTGTGTGCTGAGAAGGCATAAGATCTACTCCTTTAGCAAATTCCAAGTGTACAATACTGTCGTTAACTGCTGACCTTAGAGTTTCAGACCTTACCATAATCATAACTGAAGCTTTGTACCCTTCGGCTGTCATCTCATTTGCTCACCTCCTAACCCTGAGCAGTCACCATTCTGCTTGCTTCCTTGAGCTCCACTATTTTAGAGCCCACACGTAAGTGAGGTTATGCAGTATTTGTTCTTATGGGATATCTGAGTGACATCTGAATCCCTCTGTTTGCCCTGGTCATCAAGTTACCTAAGCCATTATTTATAATTATCTAATTGGGTGGAAATGGAGATCGTGTGTTTTGTGTATATATATATAGCAGGACCTTAGTCTCACATCCATAACTAAGTGACAATGTTTAGAAATTCTAGCTGTGTTTTAAAATTCTAGCTGACCCTATTTGAAAATATTTTATTTTTAGAAAGTGTTTTTTTTTTTTTTTTTAGCTGAACCTATTTGAAAATATTTTATTTTTAGAAAATGTTTTTTTTTTTTTTTTTTCTTAACCTGAATATTAGTCACTGGCCATTAGGAGTCTAGCAGGAAGCATTAGTGATTCATTAGGAACTCGTGAAGTTCAGGTTTATGTGTAAGAATCATTTACAGGACCAGTCCCAGGCTAGCTGCTAAAGGAGCTGGGCCCCATGTGGCCAACTGAATGGTTCCAATTCCGGCCCTGGCAGCTTGAAAAACATGGCAAGCACATGTGCCCCAAATCCTGACAAAATGGAGGACTTGATGAGAAGGGATTGTGGTGTTAACCACACCCCATTTCCTCTCTCTCTGTCTCGCTCACAGAGGGGAAGGGGTCGTGATGTCATCACAACCCATTCTCTTTCTCTCTGGTGAGCACACGTGCCCTCTAGAAAAAAAATCTGTACATCTGTATATTATATATTAAATACACACACACATATATTATATATTTATTTGCAAAATGATAAAATGTGACTTTTCTATTTTTCACAAAGGGAAAGTCTTGCTTTGCTGTTGTTGAACAGTTAAAAGCATTGCATCTCAGAGTCTATGAAAACAAGGTCAGGAGTGTTATGGGTTGTCTTTTCTTGTTACATATGCCTTTCTCTGGCAATTTTACTTGCTTTGACTCACTCCATTATGGCTCTTGCAGGTATCAGAGGGAACCCCGGTGTTTTGCGGCTCCCAGCCAGACAGTCATATTTGTAGCTGATTTTCTGTTGAAACTAGCAAATGAGAAGTACTTCTGTACTTCCTAGAAGTTTTTGAAGAGCCAATAAAGTGACTTTTTTTTTTTTTTTTTTTTTTTTTTTAGGAGGGAATTTTACTATAGGGAGCATGCACTTGCTGGAGAGACAGAGGCAAACGGAGAGACAGAAAGTGAGAAATCACCCCCCGAGGGGGATGGCCACATTGTAATCCCTTCTCCTCCGTTTTCCTCTCAGAATTTTGGGCATGCATGTACATGTACCCAGTGTGTGTTTTAAGCTGCCAGGTCCAGGACTCGAACCACAGTCGACTACATGGGAGTCCAGCAACATAACCGCTAGGCCATCTGCTGGTCACCAAAGTGACAATTAAAAATACATCCTGAAGTGTTTGGGAAGTGTCCTACTGACTCACGGCAGTTGGTTTATTTGCTCTAATCTACATCTGCATCAGTGTATAAATAAACACGACCATGGGATATTGTGTAAACACAATGGAGAATCACATTTTCCTTAGTATTAACTGTGTCTGGGGCCAGGTCATTTAGAGCTCCTGGATGTCTGGAAGGGCTCTTCAGCTACATGATGATTTTCCTACAAAAGAGAGCAAATCATTGCTCCTTGATTTCCAGAAGAAATTTCTGAGAGAAAAACCTCTGCGTACAGTAGGATATTGAAAATAAGGCCTATAGTCATGAGTCCTTGAGCCAGCTTTCCTTCATTTTTATTCAGTGCATGAGGAAATTTAATTGAAGGCCCTCGGCTGAGTCCTGAGTGTCCTCAGCGTCTCTCTGCAGGCACCTTCATCTAAGCTATAAATCTGGAATGTTAGTGCCTTTAAGTCAGAAGTTAAACTCACTTTCTGGTGAAAATTTAGTTACTGCTATTTACCCATGAGTAGCCTGCATGAGTTCCTTTTCTTGAATGACTAGCCTTGCAAGCAAGACATTAGAAGAAACGATTTTATGTTTTCAGCTCTGTGCTGGCCAAGTCAGTGTTTGTCAGTGCATCCAGCCTTAGCAGGGGCCAGCAGTTACCAAGTAAGTGCGAATTTGATGTAGAGCTGCCTGCACTGGAATAAATTAGTTAAGAATTATGCCTTTGGCATTTCCAGTGCCTAGGATAAAATAGGTAAATAAAAGGATGTGATTGAATGTATTCTTACTATAGAGAGGTATTAATTACAAGCAAAAGCAACAGTTATTAACCAATTTTTTTTGTGGACAAGGAATCTTAGGTATGTGATTTTTACTGTGTGAATTGAGAAGATAAGAGGTAAGAGAACCCAAATTCTAGAAGTCTAAACCTGGGCAGTTGAGACTGTGTTTACCATGGGGAAGGGAGGGAAGTATATGGGGTTTTGCATAAAAACACCAGTTTCTGTTTGACCTCTGTGCCCTGCCCCCCCAGAATAAAACCCCCAAAACAAAAACAAAACCTAGTGATTTTCTAAATTAGCTTTCAAATAATCCAGGAGGAAAATAGACACCCAGAGCATGATTTTTTTCCTAGGACACACTCATTCACATTTAGCAAAGAAAAATTGAAATATTATCCTAGAAATTTTCACACATGTATTTTAAATATACTGCTTTATTTCTTGTTGCTAAGCACAGGTTAGATTTAGGAGAGCCAGTAGTATTTTATCTACCTCTTCGAGTATTGACTCCACTGGATATAAGTTGGGTTCGGTAAACACTACAGGGGACTTCCAAAATTTGTGGAAAAACTTGAGTTTATTTTGATAGAAAAGTTTTTTTTTTAAGTCTATGTGTAGTTTTTTTGTATTATCCATTACCCATGCACTTTTTGAAGACCCCTGTATTTCTCAGCACCAGACCAGATCTCCAAGAAGTTCTCAAGGGTGTGCTATATCAGGAAAATTAAATACAGACACACGGAAAGAAGAGTTCAAAAACTAAGAAAGCGGCCAGCTTAATCGTAGGGACAAATCTGAAGTTGAATATTTTATCCCAGAATTTAATAGGAAAAATGGAACCAGAACAGAAGATAAAGTACATGAGACTGATAGTTTCATGCACCTACCTTTTGAACAGAATCCTAACCTGTTTCCTGGCTTTAAGAAAAGTACCTTAGCATTTCTATAATTCAAGTTAAAACTGGTTTTCTTAATAGTACAATATGAACTTACCATGGAAAGTAGTTAGATTATTTAAGAAATTGTGTGATCAATACAATGTGGGTGGAAAAGACAATTGTAGACAGTGGGAGAAGAGGGTGGGAAAGGACAGAGGGTCAGAAAGAGGGGTAGAAAAATTTGGATAATAATATGCATGACTAAGTCACTATGCAGTATATTCTAGATGGGAAATCACATTTTGTATGCTGTGATGATGCTTAGGGATAATTAAGATCTTTAATAATTCAATAAAAAATAGGGGGAAAACAGTATAGAAAGTAAACATAGATACCAGAGACAGTGTGGGAAGATAGTGGGAGATGGCTGAGGGTAAGAGATAAGGAATCAAGGATGGGGGGGAGAAAACATACAAAAAACAAGAAATGGAAAATTATTTATTGACAATAACATGTATGTTGATGTGCTTGATTGAGACAATATACAGTGTACTCTGGATGGAAAAGCTCATTTTGTATGCTGTAATGATGTACAGTGAATGAACATAAACAAATAAATTAAAAAAAAAGACCCCTGTATTTCTAAAATTCTTACTGGTTTGGATATGTAATTAAAAATGTCTTTCCACTATGAGACTCTTTCTCTGCAGCTCTGTTAAAAGCAACCACTGCATGGGTGCTGTGTTGAGGAAAGGATCCTTGGGAAACCAATAACCTTTGATGGAACCTCTTGACAGGTGATCATTTGTGTCACTCACAGGAGCCAAGGTCCAAGGAGGGCAGTGACTACTTTGACAGCCGCTCTGAGGGACTGAATGCCGCCGATGTGCAGGTGCCCTCGCAGGCCACTGCCTTCCTGTGGTCAGGGGGCGCAGCTCAGCCCTTGTCTCAGAGAAACGAATCAACCCATGCAATCGGCAGTGATCCCCTCCAACAGAACATTTACGAGAATTTCATGCGAGAGTTGGAAATGAGCAGGGCCAACACGGAGAACATAGAGACATCTACAGACACCGCTGAGTCCAGCAGCGAGTCACTCAGCTCCCTGGAACAACTGGATCTGCTCTTTGAGAAGGAACAGGGTGTGGTCCGGAAAGCCGGGTGGCTCTTCTTCAAACCCCTGGTCACTTTGCAGAAGGAAAGGAAGCTCGAGCTGGTGGCTCGGAGGAAGTGGAAACAGTACTGGGTAACACTTAAAGGAATGTACGTCATTTTTTTTACTCTTTCCTTAATGCCACCAAGTCCAGATGGGTACAGTTGAGAAGACTCGGTATAGAATCTCACGGCGTGCCTCATTGCAGACACTTGGCCAAACCTGTGTGATACTGTTAGTTTACTATTTGTTTATGACTCAGCCTAAAGTCAATAATGGAATATATTATTATTCCATTATAATTATTTTGTAGGTATTCTTGTACCATTCTTTAATACTTTTTCTGCATTGGGAAAAAAAGAAAGTGGGGACAATAACCAAAGGCAGCTTAGTTATTTGGAATGTAGTCCCTTTCACATCCTGCACAGATCCAGAACTTCAAAGATGTACCTTTCCTACAAAGAGTATCATCTGAATTGTTTGTGCTACTCCACCTTTATGAACTGAAAAGTCTTCATTATCATCCCCAAGTGTGGGTCTTTTTTAAACATAAAGGAAATAAAAATAAGCATTTGTTTTAGGATGATCAAAGTTTCTCACAAGCATTGCCTTTACATTTTTTTAAAAAATTGCTAGATGTATAGATTCGAAGAACCCAAAATGTGTTGTGAGGAAGTGAGAAGCTCTAAATCAATATGGTGTTGATTTACATAGCTGTGAACAGGAAGAGCAGCCTTGCAGCTCCTGGTATTTCTGCACAGCCCTCCTGTGACTGTCAGAGGAACTGAATGTGTTGTTCCAAAGTCAGGCTTCATTATCAGGTGACACCCTTCCCTACTCCTGTGACTCACATCTGTATGTAGTATGTGTGAAATGCCTGGGGCCCTCCTAGCTTTCCTTTGCCTTGTATGCAGGAATTTGAGATCTTCTCCTCCAATCTTGGAGGAAAGGCACCACTTTTTCATTACCCAGAAGCCCATGTGGCACAGATGTCCTTGCAAAAGCATTTTATCTTTTCTTTTCTTTTTTAAATACTTTTTGCTATAGGGCACCCACACTTGCCAGAAGAGAGGGGGGAAGTGAGAAGTCACTTCCTAGGGGAATGGCCATGTTACAATTGCTGCAGTCCTTTCCCCTCTGCTCTCCTCAGGATTTGGGGTACACATGTACACAGGCTTGGTGTGTTTTACAAGCCGTTGGTTGGGTCTGGGACTTGAACCACTATGTGTAGTTGGCCAGGTGGGATCCAGCCGTGTTAACCATCACACCAGCTGGCTGGCCTTGCATTTCATCTTTAATAACACCCTTGCCTGGCAGACTTGGTCGGGGAGTGTTTATAAAGCCCAAGGACCTAACATCACACATGGACTGCAATCCTCTGAGGCTCAGGAAGGCAAAGAACTTACCTGGTTTTTGCATACTGGCAGGCACGCAGAAAGGCAGGTTTTTACACTGGATGACAGAAGAGATTCAAAATGTTAGAATTGTGGGTTGAACAGAGAAAGGCTGCTCTTCCTGTTCACAACTATATAAATCAACACTGAATTGATTTGGAGCTTCTCACTTCCTCGCAACACATTTTGGGTTCTTCGAATCTATACATCTAGCAATTTTTTAAAATTTTGAAGGGATAAGAAAGTTATGCTGTAAGATTTAAATGTCAAATAGCTATCCAAGGACAGGTTTGGAGATATGGCTACAAAATATTTTAAGTGAAAAAAATTTGTGGGTTTGAGTTACAGGTCACAGTGAGTTCCCATGGTGATGTTGCTAAAGTAAAAGTAAATGTGATTTAAGAGCGCAAAAGTGGGGCCAGCCAGTGTCATCATGATTAAGGCTGCTGGATCCCACATGGCAACTGTGCTGTTCGAGTCCCAGACCCAGTGGCTTGAAAAACGTGCTGGGTGCATGTATATCCATGCCCAAAATCTTGAGAGGAGAATGAAGGCAGCATGGCCATTCCCCTGAGCGGTGCTTTCTTTCTTTCTTTCCTTCTCTCTCTTTAGCAAATGAGGTACCCCATGAAAAAATTTTTAAAAACGGGGACTAGCAGATAGCATAATGGCTATGTTGCTGGATTCCCATGTAGTTGACCGTGGTTTGAGTCCCAGACCTGGTGGCTTAAACTTGCGCCAGGCGCGTGTGCATGCATACCCAAGATCCTGAGAGGAGAATGAAAGAGAAGGGATTGTGGCATGGCCATTCTCCCTGGGGGGTGATTTCTCACTTTCTGTCTCTCTGTCTTTCTCTGTCTTTCTGGTGAGCATGCGTACTCTATAGCAAAAACTTCTCCAAAAAAAAAAAAATTAAAAATAAAAAAGAGTGAGCGTGATTGGCAGCAACACCATTGAGATGCTGTGTGATCTCCAGTGACATCATTGGAGATATAATGTCTCTGGCAAAGGAGGTGACAGGTCCTTTGCCAAGGTCAAAGTCAACATTTCCTTCCTTGTGGGCGTGATACTATAGGAAGCTTATTAGGTAATGAGAACGCGATTCCTGAAAAGTTCCACCCAAAGTATCCTGAGAGAAGTGGGTGTCTGGCCTGGTTGGCTGTCTAAAGTTGCCTCCGACTCACTCATGATATTTACAATGGATGTACTTTACTCTGTAATGCGTTATGTAGTTTTTGGTTTATTTTATTAATTATTTTTTTTCTTAAAACTGATTCTTTGGAAAATTCTTCCCTGCCTGTTGATGTCTTTGAAAACCCTTAGAGCATACTCCTTGGTGGTGAGGGCTGAGGATGGAGTATATGTGATCGTGGTTCACTTTGAGAAGCAGAGCCTGGGTGCCTGTAGGGGCATTTGGAGCTGCCTGTATGGAGGTGGCCCGAGAGTGTAGGAATAGTTAGCTTAGGGGAAGTAGGAAGGGGTGAGTGTGAAGCAGTGTTGTTGGAGGGAGAGGCATGGAGCTCATTCTGGGTCTCCTGAGGTCTGCAGGACAGTCTGATTCCGAATTAGCACGACACAACAGCTGGAGCCTTGATAAGTGGGAGACTTGGCCTTCCTAATTTTCCTACTACTGACGGCATTCATGCAGAACCAGATTGCTGGATTCTTGGATGGATTCATATAATCACTGATTCTGTAGCCAGGCTGAATCATATCCCTGAAGGTAGACCAGGAACTTCTGGCCACCTACCTCAGGGGCAGGGAAGGGCCTGAGTCATCTTTGACCATTGTGAAGTCTGCAGTACTCTCTGGCCCTGCTTGGTTGGAGATTGCTTGCAAAACAGTTCAAGATCCACGGATAAAGGATCCTTTGTGAGTGTAAATGTTATCAAACACACATTCCTTCCTTTCCTTTGCAGTCAGGCAAGACATGCGATAAAGATGTTTTTTCCCCAGTGTAACCTTTTCCATGTGGCTTCTCCACCACTCTCCCCTGGGAATTCAGGAGACTGAGTTCTGCTTTCCTTCTCAGAATCCAAGCTGTAGTGTTGGGACTTCCCTATTTGGTTTACTCTTAGTTAAAAATACACATATGGGGGCCAGTAGGTGGTATGGCTAGGGCTCTGGACTCTCATATGGCTGACTGTGCTTCAAGTCCTAGACCTGGTGGCTTGCTTTCTCACTTTCACTCTCTCTCTCTGTCTTTTTCTGATAAGAGCATGTGCCCTATAAAAAATTTAAAAATAATAATAAAAAATAAAATTTAGTTAAAAACTTAAATAACACACATTTGTGTATACATGCATCCCCACACACATACTCTGTAGCAGAATTTAAAAATTATTGGGGCTGGGACCAGCAGTTAGCGTAATGGCTATGTCACTGGACTCCCACATAGTCGACTACGGTTCTAGTCCTGGACCTGGTGGCTTAAACTCACGCCAGGCACGTGTGTGTGCGTGCCCAAGATCCTGAGAGGAAAATGGAGGAGAAGGGATTGCGGCGTGGCCATCCCCCAAGGATTGATTTCTCGCTTTCTGTCTCTGTCTCTCTCTGTCTTTCTGGCGAGCGCATGCGCCCTATAAGCAAAAAACCTCTCCAAGAAAAGAAAAGGAAAAAAAAATTATTGGGGCTGGCAGGTGGTGTGGTGGTTAAGGGCACTGAACTCCCACATGACTGACCATGGTTCAAGTCCGGGACCTGGCAGTTCTGGTCGAATTAAAATAAACAAATAAAAAAATAAAGTTAAATAAAAAATAATTCTAGAAAAAGAATTTAAACATGATCATTGAAGTATCAGTGAAAGAAAATTGGGCCAGCAAGTGGTGTATTGGTTAAGGTGCTGGAGTCCCATACGGTTGACTGGTTCAAGTCCTGGAACCAGTGGCTTGAAACTCATGCCAGGTGTGTGAGTGCGTGGTCAAAAATCCCAGGAGGGGAATAGAGGAGAATGTCTTGAGACGTGGCCATTCTCCCTTGGGGGAGGGGGAATGTCTGTCTCTCTGGCACATGCACCCTATAGCAAAAGTCTCTCTCTCACCAAAAAAAAAAAAAAAAAGGAAAAAGTTTCCTGGAGAGATTCATCAGTAGCCCACCACCTGGTTACCTGCCTACTCTGACTGTATGGGTGTGCTAGGGCTTGTAGGATATAATAGATTTTTAACAAGGGTAATTCTGCTTTTCATCTGTCTCTTCCAATGAGCAGATTGTCATGCAGTTGACAGGGCACTTCCCGGGCTGAATAGTTGGCATGGTCATTAAAGATATCCCTCAAAGTGGACCACAGACTGCCCTGTATGCACTGTCAGGAGAGGAGCTATCAAATAATTCTAAGATCCAGTGGTTCCAAGGTGACAGATTCACAGCAGCAAAAAATGGAGGGATGGTGTGGGTTGAGGGTGTTAAAGAAAAGGCAGATCTGAGAGAAGACCAGGACTAACTGCTCCTAACTAGTGGTGCTAATTTTCCCTCTTTTAGTTTTGTACTTCCATGACTGTTCCATCATGCTTCCATTGTTTTCTCCCCAACAAGAAGAACGTCCACTGTTGACCCTCTAACCAATACAGGCTACCCCTATAGGGATGGAGCAGGCTGCTGGTCACTGTACAGAGTGAAGGCAGAAGACATCCCTGATGGGAGGGTAGCCTCTTTTCATCAGCCCCAGCGCCCTCTCAGAGACAGAGAATTCCTTTAAGTTAAACTTGGTGTAATAGAGTTAGGATTGATTTCCTGTTCTTTGAATTTGATAGCCGCAGAATTCTGCATTTCATTCTACATCCTGGCCTGGCTCTGCCATGACATGTTCTGTTTTGATTTCACACTCCTGAGTTAGAGCTATAGGCTGGTCGATGGAGTGTTAGGTTTGGCAGCGTCTTGGCATCTGCTCAACGCTTGCTTTCCTTTGCTGTAGCTGTAAGGATTCAGACTACAGCCGTCAGGTCTACAGTGTCAGGGAAACTGGGAAGCGAATGTTAACCTGTTAGAATCGGCATGTGGGTACAGTGGAGTTGCTTTGTGACTTGACCCAGATCCTCCGTCCTGGGTCCTGGCACATGCGCATACAGCAGGAACAGCAGACAGTTCCTTCTGAGGGGAGGATGAGGTTGTCTTCGATACATCTCTGGCTGGAGAAAGAGGCTCAGACCTACCAGAAACAGCTCTGGCCACAAACCTCTTGTTGCTTGTCCTTGTTCTTAATATTTGAGCTTTCCTGGCCTGTTAGTATGCACGAGTTTTTGTCTGTAGGGTGGAGAGGTTGCTCGGTGTTTCTTGAGACCACAAAGTACTGTGGAAGGAGAAGGTGCTGTTTCTGAAGGTTGAGCTTCAGGCATGGATCTTTCTCTCTGTCTTCTGTGCTGTGCAGGGGTCCATTACAACATAAGCTTATTTGTTCATATTAAGAAGTATTTTTAAGTGAAGAAATGAAAAACTAGCAAGAGTGAAATAGTTTTAATACATCTGAAGTTTTAGGAGTGAGGACACACGACTCAATAGGATAAAATGCCAATACGTGGATATTCGTTTACAGCGCGAGTGGGAACAGGCTGCTTTGTGAAAGGAATTTGTGTAAAAGTGTAAAAAGTATTTCACCACGTGCGTAGTAACCCTGTCGTTCATGTGCTTGCTGGGGCTTGGCACATGAGAAGTGTTTAGAAATGGTTATTAGATGACAGTTTTTGTTCATTATTACTTTAGGTTTTTGCTCTAGGGCGTGTATGTTCACCAGAGAGAAATAGAGAATGAGAGAGGGCAAGTGAGAAATCATCCCTGAGGGGATGGTCATGCCACAGTCTCTTCTACTCCATTCTCCTCTCGGGATTTTGGACATACACACATGCACCCAGTGTGGTTTTCAGGCTTCTAGGTCTGGGACTTGAACTGTGGTCAGCCCTATGGGTCCAGCTGCCTTAACTTCTATGCCACCTGCTGGCCCTCAAATGACAGTTTAAGAGACAGTAAACTTATATAAGAGAATTTACGTGTTAACATTTTGGAAATATCAGTTTACTTACAAATTATGTCAGTATTTACAAGACATTCCTACTTAATTATCAGAGCAGACCCTGAATGGCATGCTCTCTAGAATACTTTATTAACTTATTAGAGGAAAAATAAGTACTTAAAAGTATATTTAGCAGCATTATTAGAATAATTTTAAAATTCAGGCATATTTAGTTTAAATTTTCTCCCTTAGTCTAAGGTGGTAAGTTAGTAATAAGTCCTATCACTGTGAGATGAGTAAACATTACTAAAATAAAGTTATTTTATGCAGCATTTGGACAACAAAACGGTCAAGTTCCTAGGTAGACTGTTTCTTGTTATTACAGATTGGAAGGATAGTTAGTGAATATGAATCTTCTTTGGCCTCTCACCTGTGGGTCACCTCAGTAATGCAGTGTGTCTTACGAGAGCTCAGGGGCCAGCAGGCCTGACTTCCTCTCCCAGCCCCACTGCTACCCAGCTGCGACTGGTGCAGATGGTTCCAGCTCTCAGATCCTCTCTGCAGAGTGAGGCAAATCACCACACTCACCTCATAAAGAGGCTGGGGGACACACGAGCCAGTGTGTGTGGAGTGTTTAAAAGAGTTAAACAATAATACAAGGGAACTTCAGAGCATTTATAGAGAAATGGACATAAACAACTTCATTTTTGTGTAAAAAAGTCTAAAATTTATGTGGACCAGCAGATGGTGTAATGGTTACATTGCTGGACTCCCACGGAGTTCACTGTGGTTCAAGTCCCTGACTCAAGGCCCAAACTCACGCCAGGCATGAGTGTGTGCATGCCCAAAGTCCCAAGAGGAGAATGGAGGAGAAGGGATTGTTGAGAAATCACCCCCTTCTGGGATGTGTGATTTCTTGCTTTCTGTCTCTGGTGATTGCACGTGCCTTATAACAAAAATCTCTTTAAAAAAAAGTTTAAAATGTATGTTTTTTGTTTGTGTGTTTATTTTTTAGTAAGTGCATTTTCTGTAAATGCTTTGAAGCTCTTTCTACTACTTACTATTGGTGTTACCAGTGTCACATTTACACCAATGTCTCATTTTGAGTTTATGCCAACATGGCTCGGCACACCAGCTCTGCCATGTTTACCATGTTTGTGATAATGATTTTCTAAAGAACATATCACTTCCTCGTCTCTCCCTCCACCCTCAGGCCTGTGACAGGACTGGTGTTTTGCTTCTCTCTTCCACAGGATGCACCCTGCTGTTTTATGAGACCTACGGGAAGAACTGCACGGACCAGAAGAGTGCCCCTCGGTGTGCTCTGTTTGCAGAGGACAGCATCGTGCAGTCTGTCCCAGAGCACCCCAAGAAGGAGAATGTGTTCTGCCTCAGCAACTCCTTTGGGGATGTCTACCTTTTCCAGGTGCCGCTGGTATTTTCTAAACGGAGGGTTGAGATGACAGCCTGTGAGCTGTTAGGATGAGAAGGAGCAGAATTGAAACGCAAAACATAGAACCGAAATAGTGTAAATGCCTGCTTAGGTGTTGGATCTGGTCTTTAAGGGGAGGCCTTGGCCTCGGCTTACCACCTGGTGCAGGAGGACCATGCAACGCAGTCAGCATTCATTCAGCAGGCATTTCCCAGTTGCCCAGGAAGTGCAGACTGTGGTACATGTGATACTTATTCAAATAAAACATAAAAATAATAAAGCATGATTCCTGTTCTGGAGTAGCTCTTGATCAAGGAAGCCCAAGTCTTCCTGGAGCTGAGGCTTTTTTAATGAAACCTAGAGAATATGAACAGTAGAGCTTAAGCTGGTCCCAAGAATCCCAAAGAAGCAGCTTTTCTGGAAAACCTCATTGACACATGCTGTGAGGTCTCATTTCCTTGTGGAAGTGGTCTTAGGATGTTGAGGTGCAGGTTATCTATTGTTGGGTTTTAAGCAAGTTTCTAGCAAATGGGAAGTTGTAGGGCAAGGTGGTGCTGAGCTGTGGGTGTTGGGGTCAGCCTTAGACTTGAATCCTGGTGCTGTTGAGTGTGTTTGTCACCCTGGAGTACTACCAAACTTACCTGAGCTTTGGACCCTTCAACCAGTGGGGTTATAAAAGCTTACAGGATTGCTTTAGGGTAAATAATATAATATGTATTTTCTAAGTGCTAATGAAATTCTAACTATTATTATTAATTAACTCAAAAGAGGTGGGAATGACAGCCAGAAAGTGCAGTGTTTTTCTTAAAGACCTCCCAATCCCAACCAGTACTTCATGAACATGCAGTATTGGCTATAGATTATATCTAACTGGAAGTTTCCTAGGAAACCTCATGTGTACTGGCTGTGGGTTTGGATAAAGTTGGTCCCAGGTGTTCTCAGAAGCCCTGCAGAACAGCTGTCTTCTCTAAGTGGGCTTTAGACATCTGGAATGCTCTGCAGTGCTCACTGTAATAGGATTTCCCAGGATCAGCATCAGGGAGACTCACTGGGCTCCAGCCTAACTTCTGTTTAGAGTCGGGGGCTGGGATTTGATTGTCCTTCCTTTAACAGAGGTTGCTTACAACCTACTGTGATGCTTTAAAGCAAATTCATGGATCAATGTCAATCTGAATTACAGGGAAAGGATAGACTAAATCTACATGGACTTCTTAGGGGTCAGTGTAAAATGAATATTTTATTTTGCAACATAGACAAAATAATCTTAGTTTTAAGTTTTCCCAATTGGTCCTGTTCTATGATCCCAGAGGTCACTGAAGGGGTGACTTCATAAGCTCAAATGTGTGTGGTTATTTCTGAACACAAAATACTTCTCAGCCAGCTTACAATCATTCATATTTGCCCATTCTGCTTTGTTCAAACATTTCTTATTGTTTTTAAAATAAAATACTTTCCTTTCCTAAAAATGGTACGTGATCATTGGGTCTGAGGGTCCCGAAGAGAAGAAGAAGACCATTTCACACTCTCAGTATTCAAAGACAACTGCTTTAAAGTTACTGTGTATTCCTGCCATATTCTTTTACTGATACTTTTCATAATTGAGGCCATACTATTTTATATCCAGTTTCCAAAATTTAATACTTCAGTCCCAGTATTTTCCATTTAAGATCATGACAGTAGCAGCCTTTCAAAGCGTGGTGAAATGTACCACTAAGGACTAGCCCTGTGTTCTGGTTACTGCCTGGCTGTTCAGCTGTTTCAAGTATTTCTGCTCCATGCTTTAGGGCCCCATGGTCATTTCTGTTCCCTCCATGTTCTCTTAGACCCTCTAGACCTCGGTTGAGTGGTTCTGTGTGTCTTTGAAATTAACCAGAATTTATGAATGGCATGCACTCCTCTGGTTTTAATCTACCAAAGCCCAGCATGCCATTTAGAGAGAAAAAAATCATTTTAAACACCTTCTCCCTCCCCACCCCTCTGTGTTTAGGCCACAAGCCAAACAGATCTAGAGAACTGGGTCACAGCCATACACTCTGCCTGTGCCTCCCTTTTTGCAAAAAAGCATGGGAAGGAGGACACGGTGCGGCTGCTAAAGAACCAGACCAAGAACCTGCTTCAGAAGATTGACATGGACAGCAAGATGAAGAAGATGGCAGAGCTGCAGCTGTCCGTGGTGAGCGATCCAAAGAACAGGAAAGCCATTGAGAACCAGGTATGGGAATTTCCTTGCACCCCACACGTCACTCACAGTGACTGTACACGGGCTTACTCTGTGCTGTATTATGATCTGGGGAAAACTGTTTATGTGACTTCCCGTTAGTCTACTGGATGGCCACCCCTTTGTGACTTGGGTAATATGATATGTGTAATGACCTTTGGTGGCTATATTAGTAGATATATAGAAAGAAATATTTCAGGGCAAAACCATTTTCCCTGTTACCAGTGGTATCTCTCGCCTAGTTAATTCTCTCTCATATGTTGCCATTTTCTAAACAGCATCCATATAATAAAACCATGAGAAGATCAGACAGATAAGATTCTAATACAAAAGATGTTTCTGGAAAGAGCAGCTTGGTATGACATAGCTATTCCAGTGTCTGTGGATTTAAAATAACAGATAACAGACAAGCTGATCAGGAAAATGCTTTCTGTGTTCCAGTTCCATATTCACATAATAATTAATTTGTGACCTGAATAGTGCCATTGCTTTGGAGGCTAGAGCTGCATGGGAGGCCTGGGTTCAGTTTTCAGGCAGTCTGAACATGCCAGGCACAGTTACATGCATCTGTGACCCTAGCTTATTGGGAGGCTGGGGCAGACAGGCATTCTGACATTGTGAGAATGAGCAAAAAATTCCCCTCTCTCTCCCTTCACCTTGTTCTTCAGAAATGAAAGAAAATTAAATTGCTGGTTCCTATGCTATTTGTATTTTTAGAGGAGGCAAAGCAGCTTTTTGATTCTGATGTTCCTCTGCTCAGAGAACTTAGGCACTTAGATGGCGTTGGTGAAATGTCTAGTGTGTGTCTCTTGGATCAGGGTCCCTGGGAAGCAGACTGAGATGGAGATCTGCATGTGGAGAATTTCCCTAGGAACCCTCTCAGGACCAGTTCTATGTAGAGTGAGAGAGCAGGATAGGGGATCACGTTGAATTGTGATGTGGCTGGTCCATAGGAGGTTCTAGAGCCAGGATGGCCATTCAGAGTTCTGTGTCTAAGCAGGGGTCAGGCCTTTATACCCTCATGTCAAATGGTCAAGGCAGTGTCCTTCAGTGGAGGTCAGATCTCAGAGGGGTTCAACAGTGAGCTGTGAGCAGCTGGTACGCCAGGCAGCCATGGGAAGGATGCTGCCTACCTTAAGAGGAGAACCCTGTGATCACTACGGAATCTACTGCAGTCCCCTGCAAAGTCGGTGGTCACATGATTTGGGGAACTTGAATGAAGTATAGGATGAGGATAGGTTGCTGTGTTCTTAAATTTTTAAAATCTTTTTTACTAGGTAAGTTATTATATATAGGGTTCTTTAAAAAAATTCCATGGTTCCACAACAATTTGGGTGCACTATAATTTATTAGAGAGGAGTTTTACTTACAGTGTTTTACTTAAATTGCAAATGAAATAGCACATTATTCATTTATATCTATTTAACAAACAATTTCTTAAAAAAAGTTTCTTGTTTTAGAAAGAGACCGAGAGAGAGAAGGAGAGAGACAGACAGAAAGCCATCTTTGACTGTGTCTCACCATGCCCCAATTCCCCCTTCCAGCCTTCTAGCCAACCAGAATCACAGACATGCCCTGTGTGCCTGTCAACATAAGATTCAAACCTGGAACTTTCCCACACAGTGGAGCCCTACTGCTTGTATCACTGCAGCTGGGCAAAGAATTTTAAAAATCTGCATATATATGAAGAACTTCACATGTATAGAAAGAAATCCTAGCTGTAATAGAAAACTGGTCAAAGGCATACTTTAATGGCACACAAAAAATTTGGAATATATCAAGTAGCAATAGTAAAATGGTCACATGATTCCCAGTTTTTGTCCCCTTATTAAGAACTTCTAAATAATGTGGGCCTGGCAGGTGGTGTGATGGTTAAAGGTGCTGGTCTCCCACATGGCCAACCATGGTTCAAGTCCTGGACCTGGCAGCTTGCTTTCTCACTCCCCCCCGCCCACCCTCTGTCTCTCTCTGGTCAAATTAATAATAATAATAAAGTTAAATAAAATAATTCTTTAAGAAAAGAATTTCTAAATAGTGGAACAGCATAGGCAAATCTTCTGACTATATCTATTATCTACCTTTTTCTTTTCCTTTTCTTGTATACTATATTATCTTCTTC